AGCAAACCTCTAATGAGGTCAATGCACTGTGGGTCGGTTCTATGACAAAAATTAAAAAACGCAAATCTAATATTTTTTTCTATATTTCATTTTATGTTTATTTTGACATTCGAAACTGTCTCACAAACGTTATAGATTACCAAACACGATTATCTAGAATGCTGAGAAAAATAACAAAATAAATTATTTGTTTACTTTAATGCCATAATTGTGTTCCGAATTGATTTGGTGACAAGTACAAACTTGTATTGTGTATTTCTCACAGAATCTTCTTTTAGTGTTAGAGTTTTTAGGTATGGAGACTCGAAAAATACTTAAATTAGCTTCATATTTTTTTATATTTTAATCAGGGTTCGGCTTAATACATGCTCTAAGAACGGTAAAAAAAACAAACTGTTCATTTCTTCGTTTTTTTTTTGAAAAATGAGAAGCTGTAAAGTTTTAAATAGGAAATCCTTCTCAGTCCTTTTCACGAATTACAGGTATACAAAGATTACGGTTTCCACTTTTAATCGTTATTAGAATTATGTCCTACTTTGTCCAACTTTTTGAGAAATTGCAATTTTAAAAACTTCTTGCAAAAGGATGATTTTAAAACAAAGAGTTTTGAAACATGATTTGAGTGGCTTACCAAGCATTTAACTAATTCCGTGGTCTTCCGGCTCCGAAAAATACTTTGTTAATCATTCTGGCAGATACTGTTCATTTGATTTTTTTTTTATTTAGGTTCTCGATTTTATCCAGCGTTTAAGAAACAATTTGTGTGTGAAAAATGGCTTCTTCAGTCAGAGCCAAACAAAAATTCAAAGGTTGTGGAAGGTATCAAGAGGTCAATAAATTATGAATAAAAAGAGAATTTGGATTTTGAAAATTTTAGAGAAACCTACACTTGATAATGTTAATTATTGAATTATTAAATTATAATTAATATATTAATAATCCATATAGTTTTGGTACAGATTCGTTTCGCTTGTTATTAATGTTGTTTATTATAACTAAGTGTATCCGTTTCGTTTTTCTGAGTTAAGTTTATACATTTTTATGTTATAATCATCATAAATAAAAATATTATTTACAGATTCCCATTTTTAGAAAGCATTTTTTATTACTTTAATCATTAGGTACCTAATTACATAAAAAAATACACGCCACTGAATTTAAAATAACGAATCAAAATGTTTTGCCCTTGTAAATACAACTGGCGGATCTTTTCAAAGCTAAATTTGTTCAAATTTTGGATAGAAACTCATATTCACCGATGTGGCGATTTTTGACATAGGTATCTATGGCCGGCAACCACTATGCAATGCATTCATCTGGCGGTATACTAGGGAATACATTTTTAACATCCATTAAAACCAAAATCGCACCGTGTGGAATTTCAATATTTTTTAGATAGTTGGCGAAATGTACAGAATTTTTGGTACTATAAAGTACTATGATCCTGTTACGACTTTGAAAACTTCATTAAGTCAAGATGATATTCTGTAACAAGCAGAATCCACAAAAGAAACCACTGGCCTAATCGGATTTCCCTCCTTATGAATCTTGGGCAAATCATAAAGCATCGGTGTTCCTTGGATTCATAGGATAAAGTTAACCTTTTTTGCTTCTTTTGGATTTATAAACCAGAGGCCCGATTCTGTAAACATATTTCCTGTCTAGTGACTCATCAATCGCATACAAATAGCATAACCTAGACAGGAAATTTCTTGCTACGGAGCTTATCGAATCCCAGTGCAGGTCTCTTTGAGTCTTGAGTTCATTGTGTTAAGATGTTTGTTTCCATACAGGAATTTAAAAAAATATCCGGGAAATTCAACAGTAAAAACAACTTAATTTTGTCGAATATTTTAATCCTTACGATGTCACATAATATTTGATATCAATTAAATTTTTAGTTACGTAATCGAGGGCGCGATTTTTAAATTCATTGTTGCCAACCATAGACATATTCGGCGCCGGGCTGACTAACTGGAATTTAAATTTCGAGCTGGGGATCCAGGTGGGAGCTCTATCGTAAAATATGTCAAGTTGCCGCATTTATTTATGTATTTCCTGACATTGTCATTCGTTTTGACACTTTAGTTTTGTATTACGAGTTTTTGGTTTAAATAAATATTGTTGTGATACTTTAATCTTAAAAATGTTTACTAGCGGACTAGCAGACCTTTCAGTCAAATATTGTTCTTTTTAGAACCTCTTTTAGTGCAAAGTGTACAAGATAGCTTAATAGCCGTAAAAAACTTAAAATTATCTATATTGAGATGAACCGCCTATTTAAAAATAGACATATTTCTTTAAATTCAAAACATTCATTTTTGAGACACTCTGAATACATAAATAAAATTATTGATTTTTTAAAATATTATTCACAAACTAGAGAGAGGGAAATCAGGCGACGCCGACGACCAGAGATGAGAGTTGATAATAGCTTCTAGACTACCATTCGAGACGCATTGATATTATTTTGGTTCTTGAGTTTTGTGACAAAGAATGTTATTAAAGGTAAAGTAAATGTTTTCTCATTATTTAACTAATGTTAATTAAATCATATTATTTTGTTTTCTTGTTGTAATTCTGTTCTAAAGCATTTCTTTATTTATTTGATATGACAAAGCAAATATATAACATGTGTATGCATTTAATGGAATCTATTTATGCTGTAAATAATTTCAGTTTAAAAGTAATCTAAATAAAATCGTTTACTGTTCCTTCGTGTCGATGGTTGTGGTTTGTGAGAATAAAGGTCGATTTATAGATTGAAAACGTTGCGGTTCGACGCCCGACGTTACGGTCGGTAAAAAGTTCATTTATACGCAGGATGTTTTGTTGATTATAAATTTTTCGGTTGTTGTTGCGGTTGACGTTTATGTGGACGTAAAACGGAGTATTTTTAGATTTTCAATTTATCTGATAATTTGTGAGATACAGAGACCAACTTAATTTTTTAAATACGGGCCTGCACTTTTTATATCAGGTTTTGAAAGAACTCTGCTTCCTGAGTACAATGATATCCCACACTTATACTTTTTTTTGGTTTTGGATACCTTAACAAAAACAAAACTATTTAATTATTATTTAAAATAATTTCTCTGTTTTTTTTTTAAATATTTAATCTGATTATATTCATCGCAACAATATTGATCAGCGCTAATTAATATTAAATAAGGAAATCGAGCCAATTGAAAGATTCAAATAAATAATATCCAGGTCAGCAATTTAAAGATATTATTTTTAACTTTTTTTATTGTGAATTTGAAATTATCAGTGTACTATCTAATAATATACATCATATTAATCGTAGTTATTATAAATAAATCAACTTCTAGAAACTAGTTTCTAATGCTCTCTTTTCGAAATGGTTACCACCCTCCCTATTGTAAAAATGTATTATTCGTTCAAGTTTATTTATAGCTGTTTGAACATATATCTTCTTAAAAAATGTCTATATACCTATGTGGCAGATTCATCTTTCCGTTTTTTTCTTTTCGTTTTTTTTATAAAAAAGTTCTTTTTATAAATAACATCAAGTAAAAAAAGTCATTTTAACAGAACGTCAACGGTTTCTTGTAGACGTATCTGTTTTAAAAAAGTAAAGTGTTCTCGAATAGTTGAATTTAAATATTTTAAATAGTTTTTTCTTTATTCTTTGTATTTTTTTGCTTCCGACGACGGAAAGAGATAACTTTCCGAAACGTTAAGCATTTTTTTGCTTTGTTAGGCAAATTTGTATTACCATAAACATAACTTCTGACAAGCAGCGTCCGTTTAGGTTTAACGCAGAAGTGTTTACAAAAAATAATTATTTTATTTTGTAGATTTTCTTGCAGTGCAGTGGCGAAATACCCATACAGGATTTTTTGGAAAGATATCTTATACTATATTTAAAGAAAGATCTTCTTATACTTCCGACTGCATTTTGTACTCTTTATTGTAAATGTTGAAAATGATTGATTTCACTTTTGTCACGTTTATAAATGGCGTCAAGTAATGCCACCCCCCCGCTCTCCGCCCCCCTTGGCGACAGGTCCACGAACCTCGCTGGTCATTATAATACCATTTCCAATCCGGGGAAATGATTTGAATATTATATTATATTTATAATATTTTTAATTTTTTATTGCATTTCATTTCAATGTTTTACCCCATGTCATTGTTAAGTTTGAAGGCTTATCACTATTGTAACGATGAACAGATTTAATATTTAAAAAAACAGAGCCGGATTTGAAATTAATTTAAATCAATTGTGTTTAAATGTCTGAAACAAAAGAAAAGGGTAAAGTGTGGCATATCATTGTATTCAGGAGAACGAGTTCTTTCAAAAACTGAAATAAAAAATGCAGGTCCGTATTTAAAAAAATTAAGTTGGCCTGTGTATCTCACAATTTATTAGCTAATTTGAAAATCTAAAAATACTATCAGATAGTCCTAATAAAGTGGCTATGAGAATGTGAAACATTTCCTTCAAATTTTTCAATTAAATAGAATCTTCCTAAACAGTAGATGTTCTCTATAAAAATATTTTTAGATGATAACCTAAAATGAAAACAAAATGCATACTATTTAATTTATTTTTATTGTATTATTAAATATTACGTCTGCCTATGATGGGGTTTCATCTTAGAAATCGCTAAATACGCTACAGAAAACAAACTGATTTGTTTTCATTTGCGTCTTTTGCGACACACGCCGAACGCTACACGCTTTTGGTCGGGCCACTCCTATACGAGTATAATCTTGTTATTTTGTTTTAGTCGCAAAAGACGCTTCACGCAACAAACGCTTTCTGTGTGGCCGTGGGCTTACACTACTAAAACGCATATTTGACAAATAAAAATGACGTAACGTTGAAAGGTCGCTGAACATTCTTTATACCACCAGGGATGAGAGGAAAGTCAATGATGCGCTACTTTCCCTCCACCCCCTCTCTAACGCATAATTTACCCATTTAACAACCTTTCTAGTTTAATGACACTTGCACTATAAATAGGATTTACCTGTCGAGTCAAAGGCGGTACAGAATCGATAGTTCTTAATGTACCTCTTGTTGATACAACATTATAACTTTCCTGACAGTCACATTTGACATGAATCCATTTATTTTCGTGTCGGTTTTCTACCATGACAACTAGTCCCGCCCATCCTTTTGTAAGATAATACGCAGTCATACCCTCCCTGCCTTCGTGACGCTGGCCCTTAGCTAAAGTCAAAGATATTATTGAGTCAGCTAAAATAAAATTCGGTGGCCTAATATGCTCGGCCAGAAGTCTTTTCGAGCTATGAATCGCTAAAACATATCTGAAAAAGAGTAGTATTAAGAGTTTAATCAATACAAATAACGTGTTTTTCTAACTTTGGATAGGCAACACAATCATCTAACCCGGTATGCCAATGATTAAATGCAAGCGGGACTATAATATATTCTCCAGGCTCCAACATTTTACTACATCCGATAAAACCTCTAACTTGACGCTTACTATGATCTACTAGATTTCCTATTGTACTTCCTTGTCGGGCCTTAAATAAAACCACGCACAAATCTAGCTGTGCTCTTTGGGATTTTTCAGATTTTCGCTGCCCTTTCTATAAAAAATGTACACATTAAATTGTATGCCTAATGCATTATGTCTAATTCCAATTGAATGTTTTTTTTAAAATTTGGATTTGTAAAATTTGGAAAAATACGATAAAATAGATAAAAGCTTGTTGCGAACATTTGTGGGATTAGTCATGAGTTAAGTTAGTGATAATGGTGATGATAGGATTTTGTCTGGGGTAGGCAATGCCTTTTTGCCCTACATTGTTTACAGGAAAATTGTATAAACCGTTTAATGCGGATTAAAATTTTGTATCTTGATACTTTGTCGATTTCGATTTTCTTAATGTGATAAACACCATTTTATTATCACAATCAATAAAATTAAAATAGAAATTAAATCATATTTTTACACTAGAAATCTCGTTTTTTGAAACAGCCTGTATTTCTTCCCGAAATTCCTTAATTTTTTTTATTCAAAAAACGAGATAAATGTATAGCATCATATAAAAAAATAATTATATAATAGAATAATAGGATATGGCAATTGAGACAAAAAGAGAAGAAAAAAAATCCAAACCCACGTGAACAGAGTGTACAGTAATAGAAATTTAATAGTTATAAATTTCAATATTTTTGGTGTTCAATATGATGTGATCATCATATTAGCTTAGCATTATTATACAGGGTGTTTCAAAAAACACATGCCATCTCCCGTGGGGAGATTCCTCACGTAAAAATAAGATTTATTTTTTATATCAACATAGGTCCGATTCTGCTTTATTTCGTAGCTACAGGGTGTTAAAGTCTTAATAATTTTTCGATTTATTATAATTTTCTTCCAAGTATTTTTAGTGATTTGAATTAAATTTTGAGGGTAAAAGTTACTATAAGTGCTACATATTTTAATGCTAAAAAAGTGTTGATAAATCCATCAGGGACGTGCATATGGGTTGTCACTGAAATATTTTTCAGAAAAAAATCATGTGCGCCACTGACTTTTTCCTTTTGATATCAAAATTGCGTAGGCCGTTGAATGCCAATTAAAAGTTATCTTTTGATATTTTGTCGAATTCGGCCTCCTTGATAAGATTAACGCAATTTTATTAATCACAATTAATAAATTATTTATTTTACCTAATTTATTATTAAATATTATTAGTATTAGTTATTATTACTATTAGTCCAACCAACAGCAATTTAAAATAAAAAAATATGGTATTTAAGATGATTATAAAAAAACTAATTTTAAAAAGTTTTAACACCCTGTAATTCTAAAAATATGCATTTCAGTACCCATGTTATAATTTTTTGATGGGGAATCAACGAATACTTATTTAAAACTTTCGCAAGTTAATGATATTAAAAATTCTTAAGTTTGCTATTAGGCTTGGATCAAGGCAAATTAATAAAATTGCGTTTATCTCATCAAGGAGGCCGAAACCGACAAAATATCAAGAGACAACTTTTAATCGGCATTAAACTGCTTACACTATTTCTCTAACAAGAGAAGAAAAAGTCAATTGCGTACATGCTTTTTTAGAAAAATATTCCAGTGATAACCCACATGCACGTCCCTGGTGAAAATGGCGACACTTTTTTAGCCTTGAAATATATATCGCATTTATAGCCACTTTTACCCTCAAAATTTCATTTAAATGGCTAAAAGTACTTGGAAGAAAAGTATAATAAATCGAAAAAATATTAAGACTTTTAACACCCTGTAGCTAGGAAACAAAGCAGAATCGGACCTATGTTGATATGAAAACAAATCTTATTTTTACGTGAGGAATCTCCACACGAAAGATGGCACATGTTTTTTGAAACACCCTGTATATGTACTATGAATATAATCAGATTTCAGCTCTTGGTATGCGACTAAAATCGTTCTTAATAATATTAAATGAGGAATAAGGAATATGCCTGAAATACTGAAGTCGCAGACCAAAGACTGAAATTGACTGCTGAAATCCGAAATTGACGACTGAAATCATCTTTCAATCAAAACAAATTAGTGCAAATCCCAACCTGAAATAATGTAAACTCTACTTCGGTAGGTTCCAGAATAGTAAGTAAGATGGATGATAAATATTGCTGACTGGCTAGTGGTGGTAGGATGCCATTCAACCTAATTTCATTCCATCCATTACGAACTTTACAAATATCTATACAATCAAAGTACTTCAACACATCATTGAATGAAATCCAAAATGTGCCGTCTTGTGGTCCATCTGGTAATAATTCTTCTTTAAGATACCTGCTCCATAGAGAAGAATTATCTGACCAGTCGCCTTTCCATACAAAATGACCTATATTAGTTGTTCGATTAATGTTAAGCTATGTTAAAAATGTAATTAGTTTTGTTACCCCAAGGATTCCTAAGTTTTAATAATCTGTAACCATCTATGTCTCTAACATCAAGCAATGAATAAGCATGTCGAGGCCTAAGTCCCTTTGAATTATATTCATTTTCATCCACTTTCATATTACCTCCGCCACAAGATATTCCCATTAAAAACATTGCTTGCCGGGATGATAACAATCTATTAATATACATTCATTTAAATATTTGGTACAAAATAAAATAAAAAAATTTGTCTTACTGTGCCCATATGAGATCTGTGTCCAACTCTTCTTCATTCGATGGAAATAACGATATTTGCAATGGTATTGATTCACAAGGGGCGCCGGTAAGCGTTGCCAAACCTTCTAGTGATCTACCCGATACTAACGCTTCGTAACATCCATGTATTTTAGCTACAGCTTTTTCGATTAACGGTATCCAAAGTTGTTTTCGTTTTGCCTGAAAATATCACATTTTGATTATATTTACGTAAAATAATCATATAATCTTAGTAACGTCTAAGGGTACGAGGGTCACAAGTACAGATGTGCAAAACTGCGATTCTCCAATCGCAATTTGAACTGTGATTGCGATTACAATTTTAATATTTACTAAGCCAAATTATGCGTTAAAAAGTGCTTTCTCTAAATATGCCCATGAGCCACCCTCGTCCCATTTGAAAAAAATTGAGATATAATAAAATTAAAAATACGATTTGGGCATTTTTTAACTGGCCAGGACAAGATGCAAAACACAATAGACGATCAAATCTATTATTCCAAGGCATCTTGATTAAAATTAGTGTTTTTAACACAGCCATGACATTCTAGATTGAAATTTAATTTTTTTTTAAGCAAAAATATAAAGAAAGAAGAAAGTTGCCATATACAGGGTGGTCCGAATTGTATTCCGGAAACTTCGGCAGCATATTCTGCAGATAAAAATAAGTAAAAAAGTTCATATAAATAAATATATGTCCTGAAATGCTTAGTTTCGGAGATACAGGGTGTACAAGTTTCATTTTTAATTCGATTTTTTCGAGAATATCAAATATCTCGAGAACCATTACTCGTAACGATTTTTATCAAGAAACTTTTTTACGTAAAAAATGTTGTAAATGTCTATTGTTTTACTCACTTATTTTATACAGGAACGGACGAAAAGTTATTACTTTTCAAACCAGTTCAAAATATGTAGGTGGCGCCCTCTATAAGCAGGAGTGAAATTGACATCAAAATCAAATTTCTCATATCAAAAAACTCCCGGACACCAGTTTTCATCCAAATATTGATGGTACTTCAGAAATTATTTGGAAAAAATTGAAATAAAAATGAAACTTCTTCACCCTGTATCTCCGAAACTAGGAATTTTAGAACATACATTTATACGAACTTTTTTACTTATTTTTATCTGCAGAATATGCTGCCGTTTCCGGAATACAGTTCGGAACACCCTGTATAATTCTATTCAGACTGTTATTTTCTATCGAATAAACTAAAAAATACCGAGGGTGTCATTTAAAAATCAAAAGTTCTAGTCATTTCCGGTGAAACAGGAAGTGGCTAAAAACAATTGAATACGTCAATCAATCCTAATTTGAAAGAAGAGAAAAAATGAAAAAGTTATAGAGATGAACCACTCTTGAGGAACACCCGGTATATTATGATCGAGGCATCGATGTGAGAACGAAGCAGAGAGAAAATTCAACAGCAGTTTACTATAAAATGCTTCAATAGACTACAAAATTGCATTCGCAACAATATCGCAATTCGCAACTCCTAAAAATTCAAACTCGCAGATAGAAATCATGGTCCCAGTTTACGAAATCACAATCAACAAAGTCACAAATCGCAGCTATATTAATACTGGTTGCCTAAATTGAAACTCGCAAATAGAAGAAATTGTAATAGCAGTTTGCAGTTTGCGATTTCTAGCTCATTTCTAGTCACAATGGTAACAAAACTACGCATAGGGTAATAAAACTACGGTAATCCACTAACGCACATATATTAATGAGAGATAAAAACCACGGCGTAATCTTTTAAAAGTCCCTTGCGTGTATGAGCGGCTATATCAGCTTGAGAACAGTGCATTTCAAAAATACCCTCAATAATATTGATGTTAAACACTCTATACCTAACATTAACCGTCTTTGAGAAAAAAATATATTTAAAATTTTTGGACAAAAAAAAACTACCTGTCAAAAAAATTTGCATTGCCTAAAAGTCAAATTTAGTGATTACCACAGCCACTGTGACATAAAAAGAAGACAGTGGCTCTCTATTTCAAAAATTAAATTGTTCAAATGTCATAATAATGCGGTAGCTGTCATGGAATTGAGCGATTAATAAAATTATCATAAAATGAAAAGGTTTGTCAATTCGTTACATTTTAAATATATGTACATGTTCCTATATCTAAAATAAATCGTTTTTAAGTTATTTAATATTTAATTTGAAAACGTGTATTTTTTTTATTTTATCTAGCTTCCTTTGACATTAAATTTCAAACGGTCAGACAATTTATTTCCATCTCTCAGAAAACGAATTATTTGAATTTCCTATATTATAAATACTGCCTGCCCCCTTAAGAGTCTAAAAAGTGTATTTATAAAAAAATATATCTCGTATTTTCGCTCTTTAGTGATATCTGATAGTTGATATTAATAATATTCCGTATGATCGAAAAAAAAAAACAGCGCCAAGTTGGCTCGGAAATGATGCGGCTTTTTGAACAAAGCGTCACAATATGAGACGACCAGATCTATTGTTTTACATCACTTGACGTTTAAAGTCATAGGCTACTGGTTGAAATCAAGAAAAATACGCTTTAAAACTAAATCTTAAATAACTTAAAAACGATTTATTTTAGTTATAGGAACACGTATAGTCAAAAAGTAACGAATTTAAAAGCATTTTCACTAGTGAAATAAAAAAGTAGGTTTCCATTTGAAAAATATGATTTATAAAAAATTTTTCATTATTATATGGCATTCGAACAATTTAATTTTTGACATAGATAACCACATGTTTTCTCTTTATGGCACAGTGGCTGTGGTAATCACTAAATTTGGCGTTTAGGTTATACACATATTTTTGACGGTCAGTTTTTTTTGTTCAAAACTTTGAAAAAATGTTTTTCTCAAAAACGGTCAGTGTTAGGTATAGAGTATTTAATATCAAAATTCATAAAATTTTATATAGAATTTAAGTATGTAATAAAAAATGGGGGCACCCCTTTAAAATAAGAAAGTTGCTGTCAACTTCCGATATTTCCGGAAGTGACGCCATATTCAAAATATTTTTAATCGATAGATCTCGTTGTAAAACTATGATGTGCAAGAAATCTCAGAGATAGATGTTGTAGTTCTCTAGAAACTTCTAATGCACGCTCAGCCTGGGACACCCTGTATGTATTTCAGTTTAAATAGACTATGAGCTAACCTGAGAATAAAGTAAATGGCCACGTTTATCGCACGGAAAATAATCATCAACTAATACTGTGATCCAAACTCCATCTTTGCATAACCTAACTTGATACGCTCCTTGGGGACAATGTGTTCGTGTGATAAGAATAGCGCGGAGAAGTTCTTCCCTTTCTGATAAAACAGCTAAGGCACTCAATAACCAACAGTTTCCCAAAACGCCTAAAAAGTATATTTAAAACAAATTACGGTAAAATTCAGTACGTACTTACCTTGAGATATATCTGATGGTTGAGGAGTTCTGAACACAGCCCAAGGCAGTTCAATTTCCTTTTCGTCGACTACAATATCTTTTAGCCGGCGCCATTTTATTGTATATGCATCTTTATTATCATTAACATTATAATACAAACTTGAAGGCATAGGTGGAAAATCATCATCAACATAACTCTGTTTTTTTAATTTACAATATCTACAAAATACGTCAGTGTTGAATATCGTGCCGTTAGAAATGGTGGTGAAGACTGGTTACAGCTATCCTATGTCGTCATACTACACTCGATGCAAAAAAATGCAACGGAGAAATATTTGGTCAAATTTATGTTATATTTTTGTTATTTTTAGCCCTACTTTCATGAAATTTTTAGCAAGCTGTATATAATTATATCAACTTTAATTCGTAAACTCAGTTTTTTATAAACTTTAATATTTGAAATATTATACAGGGTTAATAGAAGGGTTGTTCTTTACCCCAACTTTAAAACACCCTGTGCAATAATTTCGTGTATAAATTTTCCTAAAATATAATTATACGGTCAGAACCATGTCTCCTGAGCATTTTGTTTTTAGATCATGTCAATACATGCTTTGGTTAATTTTTAAGAGCGGAATGAACTTGCTACCAACTATTTGAAATTTTTTCAATTATTATTTCTTTTTGAAATTATTTTTCAATTAAATTAATTATTAATTTTAAAATTTCATTTATGACAAGGCGGCTTAGGTGATTATTATGAACTATATACTACTATGAACTGCCCATCATGTTCGACCTTTAGGAAATGCTTGGCAGGAATGTTAGAGATCACGAAGCAGTACCAGCTTCATTAAATGAACTTCGTCCTTAAAAAAGAATGGGAAAACGTATTGCAATATGATATATGCAGCCTCAATGACAGTATGAACGGACGTATACAGGCAGTTACAGCAGCCAAGGAAGGCAATACAAAGTATTAGGGTATTTTTTACAATTTTTTTCTGTTTGTATACTTGAGTATTACAGATGATTTCTTTAATAATCGTTAGTCCTGTTATCGTATTTAATGTTTATTAAAACCAGGATTGTATCTTTAGCCTTTTTTAAATTTAGTATAGAGTATCCAAAGCGGCGGCGCCGTCGGACCATCGCATCCTATCAATGAATAGCGGATGCATGACTTTAGTGTCAATGTCGATATCATTAACAAACAATCCATTCGATATAATTGATGACGTGCACCGCAAATGTTTTGCGATTACAATAGACGGTAAATCGCAATTTTTCTGGGAACAATATTATTCTAAATAGAAATTACAACATTCAAAACTGAAATTACCTCACTATATAGTTCCAGTGCTTATTACTTAATTCTTCTTGTGTGAGTCGAGGTGGGTCCTCGGGGGGCGTAGAACTGAGATCCATTCGCAATTTCTGACACATATCACAGATAAATTGAGATTTAGCGTTTTCAAATGTGCATATCATGCATGTCCAAACCTTGCATGATTTTGACGTATTTGGAACTGAAGCTACTGACAATAGATACAATAAACATTAAGAATAAATGATATACCGGGTGCGTCTCAAAAGTGGCTCACCCCTAAAACTTTTTTATTTTTTTCAGAAAAAAAACGAGATTTGGCATGTTAGTATATGACATAAATTAGAATTGATTGAGGTACTCAACTGTTTTTGATCAGTTCCTGTTTCACCGGAAATAACTACAACTTTTATTTTTAAATAGCACCCTCGGTATTTTTTTACTTTATTTAATAGAAACTAACACTCTGAATAGAAACACATATCATACTTTTGACATTCTCGCTTTGAAAAAAATTGTATTTTAAATTTCAATCTAGAGTGCCATGGCCGTGTTAAAAACACAAATTTTTAATCAAGGAGCCTTGGAAAAATAGATTTGAACGTCTAATATTTTTAGTATCTTGTCCTGGCCGATTAAAAGACGCTCAAATTGTATTTTTAATCATATGTCAATTTTTTCAAATGGAACGAGGGTGGCTCATTAGCGTATTTGGAAAGGCATTTTTTTATGAATAATTTGGTACCACACACTAGGTATTTCGATTCAAATTGTCGTTATGAACCGCATGTTACAATTTCAAATAAACCATATGCAAAAATGTCAAAAGTTCACATATGATATGTCATTCTATTCAGAGTGTCATTTTCTATCAAATAAAGTAAAAAAATACCGAGGGTGCCATTTAAAAATCAAAAGTTTTAGTTATTTCCGGTGAAAGGGGAGGTGACCGAAAACAAAAAATTGAATACGTCAATCAATCGTAATTTATATCATATACTAACATACATCTCGTTTTTTTATCTGAAAATATAAAAAAAGTTATAGGTGTGAGCCAATTTTTGAGATGCACCCGGTAGAGTACAATTAATGGTTACTGGACTCCATATAATTTTCCTACTACCATATTTCTAATAGTATATGTAATTTGTAATGTCATACACTCTCACATCTTACATTTATCATTAGTTGAAGACTGATGATGAGCTAAGCTATGATGAACATAAAATAGCAACAAAAACGTGAATAATTATAAATTTGGAATATGTATAAAACATATTTATCCAAAAAAAAAACTTAATTATAACATCTTTAATCTTTTTGGTATATATTATACAACAAATTTATATCCTTGCGAATATTGACCAATAATCTTTAAAAATTGATATTCGTTACATGACTACTTTAGACCATCCTGTATAATGGGTATATTTTTAACAATTCCAAATGTATAATAGTTTCATTAAAGCTTCATTCAGAACTTCAAAATTAGTGGAATAAATTAGTGATATCAATTAACGCTAAAATTTGTTCCTCTAATTTCAATGTATGCATTCAGAACGTCAAAATTAGTGGTAATAATGTTAATGTAATGGTAGGTATACATTGGTGCGCTGCGCCGCGAACGCACAGCGCGCGCTCCGAGCGTTGCTTTTATTGTTTTAACGAACATCCTGCGATCCAGAAATCCCGTGAACATTTGTCTAGTCGTTAATCATGCCTCTATCGTCTGAGAGGAACTACGCAATTTTAGTGATGAGTAAATCGGCTCTTTGAACACTCTATTAAGAAACAATATTCAAAGAAAAACACAAAAAAGGGAATTTATTCAAAGGAAACACACAGTCTCAGACAACTGCGCGCGGAATGCGCGCGGTATCTTTACCGGCCGTCCCAACTGAACAACGAACATAGAAAGCAGAGCGTCGAAAAACCGACTGGAGATGGTTCGCGGCCAGCGGTTTGCGTGCGGAGCGCGCGCAACCTGAAAACACGTACCGGTGCACGCGCGCGGCGCGTTCGTGGCCAATATTTACGTACCATAATAATGTTATATAAAAAGAAACTCTCTACGTTCGTCACTAATTATACTTCAAATTTGCGAGTAAAGTCATGTTGGTCTTTGATTATCATCCGTCAAGAGAGAAAATAATATTGTTATTCGGTTATTAAGTATTTATTGGATAATATTACTAGTATGTTAATAAAGAAAAAAATTAAAGGTAAATTACCTAATAATGTTTAACGTGATTAAGTTACCTAACATATATTTCGCTGAGTAAAAATCGGTTTAAAAAACGATTTTTAAGTAACATATACATATCTTGTTTTTCTCAAAATATGTAACATACTTACATACATACAAAGGTTTTCATATTTTTAGTGTTGTGGAGTTCTTTTATGGATAAGTTTTTTCCAGATTTCGGACAGCTTCACATATAACACTTTTATTAGTCAGAATATCTAATTTATCTGCCACTAACTTTATCACACTCCAAAAACAAACTTTCAAAAAGAACACAAATCTAAAATATCGTCGGAAATCCAAATGAACCCCTTATTATCACGGGTAAAACAGTATACAAAAAGCACAAAAAGTGACATTAATTATTTTTTTTAATGTCAAAACATATTTTAATGTTTCCCTGGTTACTGATTCTATGTGTTGCCCCTTCATTATAGCTACCCTATGATAGAAAAAAAAATGGCGTCTAGTTGGCTTGGAAATAACAATCGATGACATATAATTTTACATATAAAATGACAGCGATCTTCATTTCATAGCCATCGCTGACGCCGTTTTTATTCGATCATTCGGTATTTTTCAAAGTAGTATTTTAAAAATTAAATAAAAAGAATTTATCGTTATATGATTTAATGTTTATTATAAATTATATAAAAAGTATATTGAAATAATATGACAAATATTTTCAAAATAATAAATACACGTATCGGTTATATCTTGATTAAAAATTTAAAGGTCTATATTTTTAGTAATTGTTGTCAACGCAGCGAAAGAAGGTCCAAGTTAGCATTCACGTCTAATATCGTTCTGCGCATGCTCAGTAGCGTATTCAGAGAGAAGCTAATACGATACGCTAAACTCATGCGATAGGCTCATACGATAATCTTGTTCTAGAAAGAAATAAGTAGAAAAATGCATGTGAAGTCCCGTAAACAAAGTTGTGTGTAATATACATATATATATATATATATATATATATATATATATATATATATATATATATATATATATATATATATATATATATATATATATATATATATATATATATATATATATATATATATATATATATATATATATGGTATAGCCATAATGTTGCATAGTTCAGTTAGGGCTCCAAAGCGTCGCCACCTGCTACCTGTCACGTGTCATAACAAGATTGACAAGTGACATGACATTAAATTATTTGTATTTGCAATTGTTTACAATTTTGTGTCTATTATAAATTGTGCGCTACAATCTTTGAATAAGAAGACTAAGGAAGGAGCATATCAAAAATCTTAGGTACACCGCGATGGGCCTCAAATATGGCCGACTTAAATTCCGGTTTATCAGTGTCGTTCTAATTTTATTTAAAAAATGTAAAACTATGATGTAGGGTAGACGTGGGGTAGACTCAATAATTTGTTGTTTTATGTTAGGTTGTGAATAAATGTTGGTAGTTATTAAAATTGTTATAAAAATATATAATTCTAATAAAAATAGATAAGTTATAATAAGTATTTATTAACACAAACATCCGATACGCTACTGAAGCAGGTAAGTCAAATTAACGTATCTAAATTCTTTGACATCTAATCTTTGACAAGTAATAAATAAAAGCTAAAATGCAAGAAAAATATATAATTTAGTTAATTTAAGTGAATTTCATAAATGATCGGTTTACTAAACGTATGTATATTATATAGTCACTAGCGAAAAGTTGTTCCATTATTTCACTCAATTTTTGCCGAGATCTACCGCACGCTACACAACCAACTATTTTAGAATCTTTTTCGATAAATCGCGATAGTGTCACTGTTAATTTAAGTTCTGCCACAATTTCCATCTAGATTTGCTACCTTTATACAACTATCAGTAGTATAATAAATAATAAATAACATAAAATAAGCTCCGTAAAGACTGACAAATCCACAAAATTTCAAATCAAATTCAAATGTGTAAAATGAATCGTCAGACAGAACTGTCAAGGATCCCCACCCTAGAGTGCTTTTATGGCGCTTTTTCCGCCCACCATGCATGAATACATGGATAGCATTATGCTCCTTCCTTAGTCTTCTTATTCAAAGGCTACAATCGATCCTCGTTAAACGTGTTGCCTACTTTTGACTATGGAAAAGACTCTTTTATTTTATATTTTTCTATGGGTGCTGAAGATTGAACTTTTTCTTTGTTGATAGTATTACTCAGAGGTATTACTATTGCAATTAAAAACTTGTATTAAAACAGCGGACGTATTACTGACAACTTTATTGTTCCGCCATCTTCTCTCGTCTCTTTTGACAGACAGACTCTTAAGGTCGTCCCACACGTACAATAACTAAAGGCAACTTTACACATAAAAATAGGAAAACAGAAAACAATAAAAACACTGAATGACTATTAAACATGCCCCCGGCCTTGAAAGAGTCAGCTTTCAACCTCAATCGGCAATACACAAAACTTGGCAAAACTCCGTTTCACAGTTCCACTTGATGTCTTGATAGTAGCTATCGAGCGATGCCGTCTGATCCTGGATGAAGTAAGACGATTCTACCGAGTTTCCATTGAAGTGGATGAGAGTGGTCATCTTTGAGAACAATAAGAGATCCAACTTGAAGTGCTGCTTGCTGAGTTTTCCATTTGGTGCGTAACTGAAGCTCGCTAAGAAACTCACGAGTCCAGCGGGACCAAAAGTGTTGTTGGCACTGCTGCATCAGCTGGTATCTTGAAAGGCGTGACGTTGAAATGTCTCTAAGGTCTGGATCGGGAAGTGATGTTGCCTGTTGTCCGATAAGGAAATGAGAAGGGGTTAAAGCGGATAGGTCATTGGGGTCTGAGGACATGGTAGTGATTGGACGAGAGTTTAGGATCGCTTCAACCTCTGCCAATATAGTGCAATACTCTTCAAAAGTAAGTTTTACGCTACCGATTATTCGAGTCAAGTGTCTTTTAGCCGACTTAACACCGGCTTCCCAAATTCC